CCCTCCCTCCACCACTGCTGCCATGTAAGCCCGGGTCCACTCTTCCCTCCTCCCCCTCCCACCATGTTGACGCATGTTGCCCTGCAGGCAACGATGGTGGAAGAGGGGAGGAGCGGGCCAAGGCCAGCGCTGGTGGCCTCTTCTCCCCTCTCACCCCACGGCATCCCAACCCCGCTCCACCCCACGTTGCTGCTGCCACCTCCAAGGAGCAAGGAGTGGGGGCGAGACCAGCTCTGGTGGCCTTCCCTCCCTCCCCCCCTCCCCCATCTTTGCCACCTGCAGGGAGCAGGGCAGAGGGGGGGATGGGACCCATCCCCACCCACCCCTTTCCATCCACTCTGTTGCCACCACCTCCAGGGCTCTGTCCCCTGCGTCCCTGCCATCATGGCAGCACTCCACTGTGCCACCACCTCCTGTCCCATCGCTGTATTCGCACTCTGATTGGCTGTTTCAGTCAGCCATTCGGAGCGCGAATAAAGCATTATACAGACGGACAGACACATTAAAGCTTTTATAGTATTTGAATGGAGTTTTTCAAAAGCTTTAGCTCCATTTGCTGCTTGGCTCTGCTGTGTATGTTTTCTCTCCAATAAACCCTGAAGACTTATCTGTCTATCCCACCCATGCAGTTGGTCCAATAAAAGAGGATCACCTACAAGAATTATTTACAAGTTATGCATGCTAACTGTTGAATTCGTCATGTAGAACTAGAATTGTGTTCTTAAGGATTGGATTAGTTAGGGTATATGCACACATACCATCTTTAGAGCTAAAAACACCTTTTTAGCACTAAAAAAGTAACTGTCCATATATAGCCACTGCAGAGCGTGGGGAATATTAAACTTGAATGGTGCTGGTGCTTTACCAGTATCTGCCACTGCCTCGACAGCCACTACTACAAACTCTGTAGCGCTGTAAAAATAACATGTCTGGCACCTTACTGAGCTTCAGGCTGACATTTATTTTGACCTTTTAACAGTTGCTTTAGAAATAAATTCTAGTTTAGTCTTAGTAACTGGTTTTCTTAGGTATGAGCCATTGACTAATTTAAAAGATATTTAGCAGCCAAATGTATCCTCATCTGAAAATATTACTAGCAGTTTAATGTTAACGTCATTCATACAATTAATAGTCTTGTTACTTTTTTCAGCTTAACATATGTGGTAGCGATGCCTTTTTATTCTGCAAGCCTGATTGAAACTGTGCAGGTAAAGTTACTATATCTCTGTTTATTGCTTATTAAAAGATACTGTTTCTCTGATCACAAATGACAGTTTATTTAAGGAAAGTGGAGTATGTGTGTGAGTAGTTTGTACCACACAGGAACTTGTACAACACTGCTGAAATTGTATTTTTTTAACTCAATTTAGATGCATCTAAGCACACCAGTGTTATATTTTAATTAAAAAGTAACTAAGCATGCACCTTCATTCAATCACATAATTTTACTATTACACTTGATCTGAGCCTTCAAGAAGCCAAGAAGCAATCGGGGGGGGGGGGAATATAATTCCTCTAACAATGAGACTTGATGACGCAGAGTGGGAGTGTGTGAAGGCTTCAAATCTAATGAGCTAAAAATCGTTCTTAAAATGCTAATCACTTATATTCCATTGCTCTAATATGATATCTTCCATCAGACTGTTGGTTTTCCTTTCATAGTCTGATTAGTTTTTCAGATTCATTTAAAGAAATAAAATGCCTGCTTTTTCTATGGATCTTGGTGCTAGGAAACTGTAAAGAAGAAAGAAAAAAAAACTATAAATGCAAGCATGATTTGTCTAGCGAACAAATATCACTTCACACATTTTTAATTGCCAACCAAAATAAAGATATTCTTCTCAACCACCATATGTGCCTCAAACTATCTGCTAAGTAACCTGACAAAATAGAGATTTTAGTGTGACTAATGAGACTTTGTTGGGCCAAACCGACAAGTAATTTTCCTGTCATACTCGCAATGACTTAGTCTTGGTCTTTGCTGCTTATTTTCTCTCTTGAGATGTAGCTGTTATTAGACCATCTTCACCTAGTCTGGAAGTTCAGTCTTGCTTTCTTCTATGGAGAACAACTTAGTGGGTTATTTTGAGTCATACTTGAAGCCCATTTGATAGCTTTAGATCAGGAGTGTCAAACTTACTTAGGGCTCCTTGAGGGCCAGATTGAATCCAGGGCATGACAGCTGCTACAGTGGTCACTGTGGGGGTGATGCAGGGGCTGCAGCAGCATGGGTTACAATGGGATGAACAGGCCCAACTTCTAGTGCCCTCCAATAGCCTGGTGGGCCAGGTAGAGAGGCACTGTGGGCTGAATCTGGCCCGCAGGCCATATATTTGACACCCCTGCTTTAGCTAATATCAAAAGTATAATTTTATTATAAGCAGAATAGACCGTTGCAAGCAATATAACACCTTGTTTCAAGTTCTTTATCCACTGGCTTGTTGGTTGGTCCGAGGTACTAATGATTCCATCTAAAGCATTAAAAGCTCAGGACATTAATGTTTCTGACACAGTTTCTTTGGTGATCACATGACATTTCAAAGCAGAATACTTCTGTTCTCTGTTTTCCAAAACTGAAATCTTGGGGACAAGGAGCAGAGTAGTCTAGAGTGGAAGGCTATTGGTTGTGAAATGCACTTCCTGTTCCCAGAACAAGTGTTAGGAAGCCTTATGACTTTACAGATCAAATAATTTTGTCAAATTTAGTCTGGAATGTTATTCTTGGATTTAAGTAGGGTGTGCCTGTGCCAGATTGCCAACTCTATCTTTTGTGTGTGAAAATATGAAAATATTGTCCAGATTGCATAAACCTTGATAATATCCAAAAGCAAACTGTTGCGTAGCATTCTGGACAGCTGTCCTGCTCAAGAAAGAGCTTTGACTTCTCACTGAAGGGCTAATACTCCTGGTTTGTTTATCTGGAGAAAATTAAACTGTTTCCTGTGCTGAGACTTTTTTCACTATGCATGCATTTTGTGCAGATTATCTAAACTACAGAAAGGACTCATGGCTGGATTTGTAGCTTCTCACTCTGAGCACGTACCTTGGATGAGGGCCCAAAGAGTGAGATTATGCTTTATGCAGGGCTCAACAAATGGTGCATGTGAGAAGGACTTGCAGGGGACAGGAGACAAAAGGAGCTCTGGCTTGCCTGGATGAGCAAGCAATCAATTTTAGACTAACAGAAGGAGTAAGATCATAAAAGGAGAAGATGTGTTCTGGGACTTGTTCTGTTTTCACAACTCACATTCTTAACCACTGTGATTTTTTTTTTTTTTTCTAAAGCAGATTTTTAAGCTTGTCTCTCTTGCTTTCCTGAGGTGTTAAGTTCTAAGTGCAGCCTAGATGGAGCTCTCATGGAGCCTGTTTAAGTGGAAAGAAAATTCGTGAGGTCTCAGTTACTGGGTAGGTGGCTTGGAGGTGTTTTGTATCCAAAGGAAGAGTATTGGTACGTGGCTGTCCTGGAATTCCAGAATTTGAAACAATGGAGACAACTTCACTCTGACCCAGTAGTTTGGAAGTGTATGAGATTCAACAGTTGGATTTGCTCACAGCAACCTAGTGCAGTGATTCTCAACCAGGGTGCTGGGGCACCCTGGTGTGCTGCAAGGTGAGAGGCAGCAGATATAAAAAGATAAGTGCAGGCTCTGGATCAACGTTGCCTGGCCACTGTGCCACATCCACTGCCAGCTCCTCTGCAAGGAGGTAAACACTGTAATAAATAACTTAGTTTTTTGAAATAGGAAACAGGTAGGTTCATTACCTGCTGTACAGTCACTAGACCAGTGGTTCTCAACCTTTCTAGACTTGAGGCACCTCGCCATAACTTTTGTACCAAGCTCAGTTCTCTCTAGACTCAAAAGAGACAGGCAGCCTGCATGCAGACACCCAGTAAGTAATACAGAGTATCTTAGTCTAGTCTCCTTTTCTTCTAATAAGTCCCCGTTCCCATCTGTTGTCTAAAGAATAGAAGTTAAGCCTATGAGCTGGGTAGCAGTGAATGTTACAGGGAAAGTGAAATATGGGTATCAGAATTAAAAATAGGGGATAAGAACTGTCATTCACAAGGTGGGACCACAGGTCCATCTTGCACCGTATCCTGTGTCACACAGGACAAGTGTGGATGCTGAAAGGGAGAGTGAACATGGATTTTTTCCACCGTTCCTTTCTCACTTGCAGTATCCAGGATCTTAGGTCCAGGAAATTCTGATTCACAGATTGTACCCCTAACTGCCATGCTCAGTAGGTACTGATGCATCTTGTGTGTATACTAATTCACACTTTCTTCTTAGAGGATGATTTACTTCTTCCCTAATACTACATTTCCCTGAACTCATTGGTGTTGTGTGTATTCATTAAACCAGTGTTATCCAGTGTCTGTTTTCAAGGTTGTTGAGCCTCGCCTTGTTTAACCACTCTTAGAATATTTCAGAACATAAGCAAGTAATCCACTCTTCAAAACTCTTCTCTCCTCCTGGGAATAACTATTGTAATAGGAAAACTGACTACATTATAAATGAAACTGAAGTTCTGAAGTTTTGTCAGCATTTTATGAGAGTTCAATCAGAACTCGGATGTGGCCTGACAAAAAAAAAAAACAAACCCATTAGCCTGAGCTCTCTTCTTAGAGGTGCTCTGGCACATGAAAATGATAGATTGTGGTACTGATTGTTTTTCAATTTCAGCTTTTAGGGAGTGTTTGCTTTTTACCCAGCAAGCATAAGCTGTTCAAAAGTGTTATTTTCAACGAGTTTCTCCAGCCAAAATGACTACTTATATGGCTTAAAGCAGGGCTGTCAAATATATGGCCTGCAGAGCTAAGTCATCCAGCCTGCTGACTTGTAAACCTGCTCTGGCCCTTGTAGCAAGGATTTTGCTTATGGCGCCATTGACTGCTGCCCCAGGGACCTGGGCCACCATGGCCAGAGCCAAAGCTCTGACCATGGTGGTAAGGAATCTGACCATAATGCTGGCTGCTGCTCTGGAAGTTTGACCGCTACGGCCAGAACACTGACTGCAGCTGTGGGGACTCTGCCTATGTTATTGCTGGAGTGCAGCCTGCAGCACCTGAAAAGCAGGGAATGTAGTCATCCATCTGATTGGAGTCTGATACCCCTGGCATAAAGGTAGATAATCTGTGATTTGGAGAAATTACTAGTTTTTACCATTTCAAACCACATGATGGCACTCTTGACTTTACACAAAATGCTAGAATTGTGCAGGTAGGGTAGCATTACTTCCCAAAGTGAACATCAGTAAGACATTTTTAAAGGTATAAGATCTTTCCTGCCTTCTGAGAAATTTGAATTTCCATTGTAAGGTATTAAGATGAAAAAAAAAAAGTCTTTCTTGAAGACTGAAAGTTTATCCTTGTGGCATCACTATTTTCCATGCATACTGTTATAAAAGATCTCTTTTCATTTTCTTGGTGACTGATATTATCCTGAAATTTAAAAAGAATGTTAATTTCAGTATGCTGCCTTTCAACAAGTAGAGCTTGACTCCAATCAGACAACATTTATGCATAATGATTTCCCATGGAAATTATAACAGGTCCCTGATTGGGGTCACTGTGATATAAAGTGCTGCATCTGTGCAGTCATCAAAAAGGGAGCTTATTGCTCCTGTTAGCACTACTGTCCACCAGATAGTGCTTAGGGATCATTAAAGCACAATTATCTCTTAAATGGAAAGTGAAATATGAGTGCAGACAACTCGGTGTCCTAAAATCAAAGTCTAACTTTATTAGTACAACAAGTATTATCTTAGCAGTTTCTATATTCAGAGAGAGAAAAAGATTCAGTACATTATTCTCACCCAATCCCAGATGTTACTTTGCTCAACAGAAAAGATGGCCACTCAGTTCCTGGAAGCAAAGGGTACATTGTGGGCTGGGATGGTCCAGACAGGTGTTGAAGGCTGGATTTATGACAGCCATGAACTGTCTTGCTTCTCCTTTTTATGTTTGTCTTCAACTTCACTCCTTTGACTCTTCGCTTTTGGATTGGTCTCTCTGCAGTCTGCATCTCTTAGCTCATCAGCATATTCCTTTGTCTAACACCCATTACCAGCACACCTTTTAATTTGGCCTTTTTCTGGTGTCTTGTTTTCAGCATTGTCCATTGGTCTCCTTTATCACTAGGGATCTACGTTTTCTGTTTCCCACGGAAAAAAACACAGATTCCCTGTTTTTATCAGAGAAAATGCAGATTTCCCCTTTTAGCAGAGAAATCCGCAGATTCTCCGCTTTTGCAAAGAGCTCTTGCAGGCTGGCACAGCTCCAGCCTGCAAGAGCTGATTGCAGAAAGGGCGGGAAACCCCCAGCCCTACCCGGATGGTGGGGGTGGAGAGGGGGAAGGGCGGGGCCTGAGCCTCTAAGTCAGCCAAAGCTGGGCTCAGACTCGCCCTTCACCCTGGATCCTAAAGGTAAGTGGGACTTGGGGTTGTGGGGCAGGGCTGGGGAAGGGGGCTAAGGGAGCTGGGGGTGCTGCTGGCCCCAGGTGACACTACAGCTGGGGGTGAGGGCAGGGGTGCAGGGCCGGGGGGTGAGGGCAGGGGTACCCCTCCGCAGGGGGCTTTGTGGGCAAAGCTTTAAACTTGCTGCCACACAGACAGCACATTGGCTCCCCAAACTCTATCCTCTCTAAACCTCCATTGTGCAGCCCAGCATTGAGGAGCTGTCCCCAGTGCTGGGCTGCCTGATAGGGCTTTAGAGATGCATGTGTGTGTGTGAGATGGGAATCTAAAGAATTTTATCCCAGATCCCCAGACTCTCATATCCTGCCTGCACTTCTGCCATGGCAAAATGTGTGATTCTATTTTCTTTAGAGGCTGGGGGTTGGGATTTGGGATAAAATTAATCAGATTTCAATCACATGACTAAATTAATGTCTGCTAGCAGCCAAAGAATTCCATTTATATATGAGCAGACCAAGTCTGCAGCAGGTGATTATTTAGTAGAGATGAAAAAAATCTTGTTTTGATAATTGTTGGACATGCCTGTTTCACAATCAAGAAATGCAAATGCTAATTTAAACTGTTGCATTTTGTTGTAGAGTGAAATCATTCGAGATAATCCTGGAATTCTGGATTGTGTCAAAGAAGGGATTGGCAGAGTGGTGGGTATGGGAGTGCCTCATAGCAAACGGCTCCTTCCACTTGTGGTCTTGACCTTTCCAACTGTTCTACATGGAGTCCTTCACTACATCATCAGTTCAGTCATCCAGAAATTTGTCTTGTTTGTCCTCAAAAGAGAAAATTCCCACAGCCTTCCAACTGAGACCTCCAATTCTGTGCAGAGCATGTTGGACGCGTATTTTCCAGAACTTATTGCTAGCTTTGCTGCCAGCCTTTGTGCTGATGTCATGCTTTACCCCCTGGAGACAGTTTTACACCGTCTTCACATTCAAGGAACACGCACAATAATTGACAATACAGACCTTGGCTATGAAGTGCTGCCGATCAATACTCAGTATGAGGGAATGAGAGACTGTATTAATACTATAAAACAAGAAGAAGGAATGTTAGGTTTTTATAAGGGGTTTGGAGCGGTTGTTGTACAGTATACACTGCATGTGGCTGTTTTACAGCTCACTAAAATTATTTACTCAACGTTGCTTCAAAATGTTGCTTAAAACTTTGTGTAGATGTTGATTAGTATGGAGGATGTGTTTTGGTTACTTAACTGTCTAACTATGATAAAAAGAGGGATGGATAAGAAAATGAAATCTGGAAAAAGACAATCTATAGTTGTAGGTTTTCTTTCAAGGTAAAGTATTCCATGTAAAAAAAATGAATTTAAATTCTGAACTACTCTTTTAAAAGTACTTCATGAAATTAAACCAATATTGCAGAAAGTTTTGTGTGTGTGTGTGTGTGTGTGTGTGTGTGTGTATAGAAAGGTGAAATTATGCAGAAGAAAAGCATAATTTAAAATCTGACTTTAAAATGGATTACATTTCTGTCTACCTGTAGACTGGCATATATTACATGGCATTCCCTATAGAACTGTCCACATAGATTAAAAGCCTAGTAGTGGTCATTACCTTTGACAAGGAATTTCCACTGGTAAGCCAATGAAGAGGTTTGTCTTCATCTCTTACATGCTGAAGATGAGGATTCCATGGTCTCTTAAAAAATCTGATTGCAGCTTTACTGTTAACACTGTTAAGGTCAAAATGGCCTCTGGAAAACGCTTGTGATTCCATACTTTTCTCCACCTAATTCTTTCAGTTTACGTGTACAAGCAAGACTTCTTTAACTTTCACTGCTCTAAAAGGGAACTGAAACTAAATGTTTGCTTTCAGCATCACCTATTACAAGATACTCTTTAAATAGAACTTGGCTTTCTTGATTAAATGTAAAGTGGAGTAACTTAGCTCTTCTTCACTTTGGTAAGTATTAAAAGGCTAGCGGTAGCTAAAATACAGCAAACTTGATTATATACAAGCTGATGTGTACATGTAAATGCCATTTTAGTCAAGTTTTCGACCACAGTTTTGAGAGAGCTGTTTTATTGATGTGTTTCTGCATAAATGTAGACTAATCATGAGAAGTGTTTTAGCACTGGTGTTCTAGGTTTATTCTGAAACCATAAAGGATTAATTAACCTTTATTTTCTCTAGTGACTCCTCCATTAGAATGAGGTGCCTTAGGGAGGTGCAGGCGCAATGAATTTGATATTGTGTCCTTAGTCTTCCCTGGAGCCGCAGTATGCTTTAGGTAATGCCCACTTACAATTTAGCACTGAAATCTTTATTTAAAACGTTAACTGGATAAGATGTGTTTGTGGAGCAGAAGTGATTGTTGCTGTTAATGAATATGTGACTTTGACTACTGAGATCTTTCTTTTTCCCCCCATTTCACCTGACTGCCTCTGCATTGAGATTTCCACTTCTAAAATGAATTTTGATCATTTTGAATAGCTTGTATTTACTTCTTGCTTACCCAGAATTGATTTAATGAAGGTGGCTTGAGGTGGTTAACTAGTAAAACAGATGAGCATGGTAAGAGAATCACTTTTCAACTATGTGAAAGGTTATTGCCTTTCTCAAATTTCACTTTTGTGGTAAGAATCTTTAAATGTCTGTGCAAATGCAATATATTGATGTGCATTTAATTGGATTGGTCTTTAAACAATGTATGATAGCATTTATTTATGGGAAGTATCCATGACATAACTAAAATAAATTAATGCAATTCATAATTTCTTTCAAATATGATATTAATTCATAACTTGTCTTTTGCTTATACTTGAAATAATTTTCATGTATTTTATGCACTGAAGTGTTGAAGTGGAAAGTATAGTAAACTTGGAATCTAAAGTTTTTACCTTGAATATTGTTTCTGCTAGTCTATTATAGCAAAATGAAAGCGATCAAACTAGAAACAAAGTATCTGAAAAATATATTTACCCCAGCATTGCATACATCAGGACTATTTCATCTATGCAATAGAAAATCTACAGTATAATGTTTTTTAAAGCATTCTAGCATTCAAGGTTCACTCTTTGAAAGAAGTTCTGTGAGTTCGGAGTCAAATAGCATTAAAGATGGCAGCACTGGACAAACTTTTAGTACTTTTTTGTGAATTACTGTTTTTTGAAATGTGCATCAGCATAGACTCTGATATTTTAAAATCTAAAGAGCTACCAATATCTTAAGTAGTCTGAATTTCAGAAATGCTGACCAGTGACCACCCAGTCCATTATTCTGTTAATTACTGTAAGCAAGTTGCTAAGAACAAAGTGAGCCCAGACCTACCAATTTAAAAGAGCTAATATACTTTTCCAGGAATAAAATTATAAAAACGTGTGTGGCTAACATTTGTCAAACTGAGTAAAGGACAAATAAGAAAGCAAACATGATATTACATGTTCTGAAAGTTTAAATTACTTTCATGTCAGAGAATGGTAATGGAGAACCCTGACTCAGTACCTAATTTCTACCTTTCCTTTTTATTACCAGCTTTTAAATAGCTTGCTGTTTAGTCATTCATATGATTAATTCTGGTTGCTGAGACCAATTCTCATATTTTGTGAATTAGTGTAGCAATGACTTGAGTGATTCTGAAAACATGTCTAGATGCTACAATTCACTTTCTTGTGGTTTTTTCCGCCCCCTCAAGGAAAAAATACTAGGTTTCTATGTATATTTCCTTAAGCTGTTTTACTCCATTTCAGTTTGTGCATTTACAGCTTTCATTTAAACAGTACCATGAAATGAACAGTAAAATTGTATATACTATAATAATAAAATGATGTAACATATTGTATGCTTTTAGCAAAAAGAGTAACAATATATATTCTGCTAGTTCTACGATAGAGCATAGTAGTATATAATGGTACAGGAAAAATAGATAAAATGGAACAATGTACAACAGTAAAATAAATCCAGGGGTTATTCTGTTTTGATTTTTTTCACCCTTATTCTTTCTGCAAATAATGCAACTGTGCCTAGGGAGTGTAGAACAGTGACATGGGAAACACTGCCGCCACCGCAAGCCCCACACCTCACAAGGCTTGCAGTGGCAGCAGCACTCTTTGCTGCCACTGCTGCAAACACCACAGCCATTGATGCTCAGTGGGCGCAGCATTCCTGGTGCTGCCCCTCCTGCAAGCCCTGTAGCCCACACTGGCTCACAGTGGAGGCAGTGCAGGGAACGCTGCCCCTGCTGTGTGCTCCACTGAGCCCCTTCAGCTGCAGGGTTCACGGCCACAGGAGCTGGTGTAGGAGGAGCCTAATAGTGTATTATCTGCATAAAACAGGGACAGGGTAGTTCAATATCATGGGGGCATAAGATTGATTCCCTGTTAGCATGTGTTTTAAATTATTCAGAAATAGATTAAAAAGTAGAAGAGTGAGCAAACACTTTTTGTCATACCTCAAGGTGCACCAATATATAGGTCCAATATCAGATTGGCACCGATATAAAGAAATTTGACTATATCAGAAATCGGCCTGATATGGCCGATAATTTTGATGATAAATGCCCGTGCATGTGCGCAGCTGCACCACAGCACGTAGACAGCAAAGAGTACAGCCTGGCAGCTTGGATAGCTATGTGCAGCTGGTAAGTCTGTTGCAGTGCACGGGGAGGGGGGAAGAAAGGGGCATGGGGAGCAGATCAATGCCCCCCCTGTGGCGAGGGAGGGAGTGGGGTAGAGCTGAGGTAGGCGCTGCCAGCCAAGGTGAGGCGGAGCAGGGATAGTCCCGCGGCTTGTCCAGGGGCGCGGGCTGCCCCGGGGGCCCGCCCCCCGCCACTGCACACACCACGGGAGGGCGTGTGCCCTCAGATTTGCACAGGGCATGGCAGGCTGAGGCTGGGGGCCATTTTTGTTATTGCAGTCAAAGGCTCCCTTTAAATCTACAAAGCTTACATATGAATTATTTTGCTTTTTTATGTCTTTAAGTGCCAAATAATACAGCTAATAAGTGGTCCATACAAGAATAGCCCTCTTTGAAACCAGCCTGCTCTTCTCCTAAAACATTATTTTCAGAAATCCACGTTTGAAATTGAAAAATTAAATATCTTCTGAACATTTTGGCTGCAATGAAGAAAAGCCCAAAATGATGATATCACCATTTTAAAACTTTTAGTGGCACTCAAATTTTTTGTCAGAATTGGTCACACCAGTTGAAATCCCTTGAAGATTTCTGTGGAAAGAAAATAAAGGCCAGTGACCCTTTTCATTTCTCAGTGGTGATATATATGCTCTAACTTCAAAAATAAGATAATTTTTGTTTGGACAGCTGAAAGTTGATTCAACAAGCAACCATTAGCTTCCCTATCAGCTGCATGTAAGTTGTTAAACTTATTTTTAAAAATGACACACGTGTATCTTTAGGGGTCTATGCATCAGGAATTAAACTAAATATTTTTGTCCCTTTTGCTATAATCTGCCATAAACCTCTACTTTCATGATTATTCCCTGGAGTTACAAGTCCCTCCCAGATCCTCATTTGATGTTGTTTCTTGTGTTTTTTCCTATTAGGTTTTTTTTTTTTAATTTGTTTTCATCTTAGTCTGTTGAAGATTATGATGATCATTTTTGGACTTCTGCTTTTCCAAGGTTTCTGCTCAAGTATCTTTAGTTTCAGAGGGACCCACCCTTATCAAGCCATGGTTTATGCCACTGATACCTATTTCCTACAAAGACGCTCTCTATGGAAAATACTCTCACCAGTAGTTGGACAACTGCTTCACATGGAGTAAATGTTTCTCAGGGTTCCCCTTAAGAATGAGATGTGGCCTGAGAAAGTACTTTTGAATAGAGTACTGCTGTTCTCTCTTAGTATCTTATTCCATTGAATTATCTTCATGTGAATTGCTTCAGATTTGAATAGTAACTGTATAATACTCTGTGTAATCCTTCTCTGACATTTCTGAAGACTATGCCAGCAATGCAAATAGACAGTGTGTCAAATTGGCTAGTAAACATTCATCTTAGCTTTAAATCATCTGGCATTGTTTATTTATATTCAGTATTTGTTAGTAAAAATCAGTTAATTCACATGCGCCCATTCTTATATTTCAGATGTGAGGAGATTTAAAACATACATGGAGAAATATAAAACGTTCAATTCAATTGCTGAAGAAAATTAGATCGGAATAGTATTTCTGAAATCAAATTTTACCCAGTTTTCACTGTCTAGGACTGGAATCATTCCTAATGGAATCATTAGTGTAGTAAAATATCTGAGTTTTGTGGGATACGTGGCCTCCCGCACATTTCTCCCAGCATTTCAGACCATACCCATGGTAATAATTTTACATGAATCCTGAGACTTATTGTCCATTCAGTGGTAGGAATCCATTTGGACCAATGCCAAACACTGCCCTTCAGGGGCCTAGATAAATATTGTTCTGTTGCATAGCCGTTGCAAGGTTAGGGGTTGTTGTAATCAAGGCGTAGGGAATAGTAGAGGCAGATCTGTTGGGAGAGAGGAAATTGTTCTGGGTTAATAACTGTTTTGGGGAAAACCATTGCTGCTGTGTCCTTTAAGGAGGTAAAACAAGGGGCAGTGGGCCCCTTGCTACCAGCCAGTTGCAGTAAGTTTACAGTCTACCTCTTCATAACAAGAGAAGCTGCCTCCCAACTTATTGAAAGAACAATTGGAAAAAAGGTCAGCTGGAGGAAGGTGGGAGCTGCAACCAGCCTGAATTAGCATGTGGGCCCCAGAATAAAAACTGAAAGTGTCTGCAGTGATAAAAGGTCCAGGGTCCATTTGAGGCGTCTTTCTCATTTGGTGGTCTGAGAGTTTGCTCTGTACTTTTTTTCTCTAGCACTTTTACCCCCTTGGGTACTTAAGATCAGGCAAGAATGCTATGAGATTGCTCTCACCTGAGCAAACCAGTTTGGGGACCCAGAGCTGACTCTCTTTATTCCCTCCAAAGACTCTGCCTTTTCTGGTAGACCTCATAACTTGATGCAAAGGGGCTTCCCTGCACCCAGACCCAGCCTATCTACCTGGATGTAGGGTGCAGAAAGAACGTATTCTGAATTTGGGAGAAACACTTTACTCTTGACTAGAAAAGACCCCATCATACCTGCATTTAGTTGAAAAGACTTAAATTCTAGTGTGTGGTGTGAAATATACACATGAAACGCTTCAAATCCAGCTCTAATTTGAAGTGGTAATTTGAAATGAATCCTCATCATACAGATATTCTAGCACCTCCCAGTTAAAGTATATCAAAATGTCCCAGAGCCAGTGCTATTGCACTGTCCCATAGGTAGGGGGTAGTAAATAGCATCCCTGCCTTTCTCATTTCCCTGGAGCCAAGTGGAAATGGCATAACCTTCCAGGTATTTGTTTCCCAGGCTTCTGCTCAGTGCTTCCTGCTATTGCAAGGCTGGCTAGTTTCATGGGTATTGCCTTCCCAGTGCAAGCAGAGAATAGACACCTACTATCTCTTTGCCCTTGAAACTCTCCATGGAGCAGCGCCACAAGGTGTACTGGCTCTGTTTTTCAGCTCACAGCAGATGTTTTCATGTTGCTGCCCATGCTTTCCACCCTCTCCTGGCCTGTCAGCTGCTGACAATAGACAAAGAATCATCCTTAAATTTGTGAGACTTGGTGATAAGTGATGAACTCTCAAACAAGTTTCTGCATTCTGTCTTGGGAGCCTCTTCATACTTCCTGCAGGTTCCTAAGAAGATAACTAAACTGCTCTAAAGCCCTTGCACAGGGAGTTCTGTCAATCTATAACCCCTTGCCCTAGACACATGGACTGCCTTTGGTGCTCCATGGCTGTAGGGTCAACCTAAAGAAGGTGCCCCTCACTTGAACTGCTGCAAGTTTCTCTCCATGTTTTTCATGGATGAATGGAAGAGACTTTGGGGCTCCTTTTGGCTCCCAAGCCGTGATGCTACTGACAACCCAAGTTTGCAGGCTGTGTCATTTTTGTTGATACAAGCCTCCTGTTAATATGAGCCATCTGTGACCAACTTGATCCTAGAACTAAGAAACATTTTTTAGCCTGTGCTCATCCTGCTGAAGCAAATAGTCCTATCTTGCTTCCTGGAAGGGTCAAATGAGTTTTAGGGGCCCCTTGGAGAAGAAGAGTTGCCTTCAACATCAGAGCAGGCTACCGTCTTACAAAGTTTGAATACCTCACCCTGGGCTCTGTTGATTCCTTCCTGGAAAGACAAGCCCAGCAATACTGTGCAGCTTTAACTCCTGCTCCCCCCAAGATGGTTTTCTGTTTGCTGGCACCAACCTCCTGAAGCATTTGTGCCTCCCCACAGAGTCTCCACATGAAGCTTGTGCCAACTGCTGCTCTATAAAATCCTCTCTTCTTGTCCCTTCTTGGGCCCCTTAGAAGGACCCACCACTGAAGCTGGATATTTTAAGTGTTACTGCAAGGGGCTCAATGACCAGATTACTAGTTTCAACTGTGTGCTATAAAATGCATGATTTGCCCCAGTCTGTTACTGTCCCCATCTTTTACAAGAGTATATCCAGCTGTTGGAGAAATTGGTTGAGGGAGAAGCTGTGACTTCTGTGGGTTCATGGTTTCTGTTAGTTTACATCTCTAGGAAGAGTGAAGCCAAGGAATTAGATGACTAAGGTGGGAGGGGAAGTGACTGTTGTAAGAACTTTATTCAATTTCTGTCTACCTGCTTTGCTTAAATCTGCTAAGGTTAAAGGGCCCTTTTATTTTTCCTGTTGCCTTCTTTTCCCAAAGAAAAATTTCCTGGTGCCCTAAAGGGCAGAAGCAGGTGGGTGGGGATTAGGGGCATGTGCCAGCACTCCCAAAAGCAGTGCTGAAGGGAGAAAAATGTCTTTATTTGATGGAGTCAGGGGTTGCATGGGCCTGTTGTCCAGTGACTGGCACATGAAGAGGTGGAGCACTAGTTCCCACAGGCATGTCTGTGGAACAACTATGGATGGGGAGGATGGGGACACCTAAA